TAGGGGGGGATAAGGAGGTGCAGAGCGGGGAGCTTTGTGTGGTGTGTCTGCATCGCAAGCGCAAGGCAGTGTTCATCCCGTGTGGCCACCGTGTGTGTTGTCTGTCGTGTTCGAGGGTGGTTAGGGAGGAGAGGTCGCTGTGCCCCATTTGCCGTGGACAGGTTCTGGCAGCCTTTCGTGTGTACGATGCCTGAGATACTACGTACCGTAGGTATGGTAGGTAGTGCTAACCTACATTGGGAGGAGTACAAGTGTTGAATTGGTTTTGAGTGGTGAATGTTAAGTAGCCAACTCCTTAGGAGGCCAGTCACACCAACAGCTGTCTGGAGCACACCGCCACCGTCATGCCCATGCCTGGGGCTGCTGCTGGCGCTGCTGCTGCTGGCGCAGCTGCTGCTGCTGGCGCAGCTGCTGCTGCTTCCACCCCTGCACCCTTGCTCATCATTCCCATACCTGCTGCTGGCGCTGCTGCTGCTGGCGCAGCTGCTGCTGCTTCCACCCCTGCACCCTTGCTCATCATTCCCATACCTGCTGCTGGCGCTGCTGCTGCTGGCGCAGCTGCTGCTGCTTCCACCCCTGCACCCTTGCTCATCATTCCCATACCTGCTGCTGGCGCTGCTGCTGCTGCTGGCGCAGCTGCTGCTGCTTCCACCCCTGCACCCTTGCTCATCATTCCCATACCTGCTGCTGGCGCTGCTGCTGCTGCTGGCGCAGCTGCTGCTGCTTCCACCCCTGCACCCTTGCTCATCATTCCCATACCCGCTGCTGGCGCTGCTGCTGCTTCCACCCCTGCACCCTTGCTCATCATTCCCATACCTGCTGCTGGCGCTGCTGCTGCTGGCGCAGCTGCTGCTGCTTCCACCCCTGCACCCTTGCTCATCATTCCCATACCTGCTGCTGGCGCTGCTGCTGCTGGCGCAGCTGCTGCTGCTTCCACCCCTGCACCCTTGCTCATCATTCCCATACCTGCTGCTGGCGCTGCTGCTGCTGCTGGCGCAGCTGCTGCTGCTTCCACCCCTGCACCCTTGCTCATCATTCCCATACCTGCTGCTGGCGCTGCTGCTGCTGGCGCAGCTGCTGTTGCTTCGACCCCTGCGCCCTTGCTCATCATTCCCATACCTGTTGCTGCTGGCGCTGCTGTTCCTGTGCCTGTGCCCTTGCCCATGTTGGGTTACTACTTGGGGTTGATATGCCCCCAGGTAACAAGAATGGGTTTGTGAGAAGAGATGGCACCGGGGAGGAAGAGGAAGACGAGGAGGACCTTGAAGGGGAGGAGGACCTTGATATGCAGACGCTGGGGCTGCAGCCCCTGATGACCCGTACCCTGATATCGAGCGCTACAGAGGAGCAGCAGCAGCAGCACCAGCAGCAGCACAAGACAATCTCGTGGAGCCAGCAGAGACTGCCGCACGTGCATGGACAGTAGCAGGAGTAGCACTTGATTAGATTGCCCGGATTCAAGTGTTAGAGTGACAGAGACACAAGGTGTGGCTGCTGTTTGAACGTGTGTAGACTAAATGAGGTAGTGCATCTTAGACGACTAGAACTCGCTACGTATTTGATAGTTTTAAGCTAGAAAATTCCCCTGCATTCTGTTGATAAGACACTCAGGTGGGTGTTTTATCTCGTACGCACAGAGGGGTCTCTTATAAACAGAAGTTCCTTTAATAAGAAAACACCCGCATTAAAAACACTTATGTCGTCAATTCAACACTGCCTTCTATCCAGTACCGCTACCGCACCAAAAAGAGCGATATGCAAAGGGAATTTGAACCCTGCTTGATGAGAAAGAAAAGGAAAAGAAAAGAAAAGAATAGAAACGAATAGCACATACAATACAGCAGAGGAAACAAAGGGTGGAATGCATAATTAAATGAACCATTCCGATGGCCGTATGATGATATGCAAAGGGCCTCACTGACATGGTATAACGAAATGTAAGGTGCATATTGACATGGGATGACGAAATGGAAAGTGCTTCTGATCTACATACTTGATCCACAAAATATTATAATTTTTAAAAGTGTAACACTTTTTCAAATTTCGTATTGTGAAAGCGAGGACGTGGCCAACGCAGCAAAGGTAGCGGCTCGACACTACTCACCCCTCTTTTGCCTACAAAAGAGGAACGTGATTCCAGTAGCTCCACCCACGTTCTTCATTTCCAATTTCTAGTTTTACTTTCCTAGTTCTCGTTCATCCTGGCAAAGACACAGTCCCTCCCGCGGTTCAAGTCCCCGTCAACTCTTCTTACCGACATTCTTCAACACAACCTCGCGAGTATGGCTCCCGCCAACACTACACTTAATCGAGAGGCGGAAAAGACGACTACCCCGGGTAATACTTCGGAGCACGCGAACGCGCCCGGGGCACCCGACCGCCGCGGAAAACGCCCTGCTGAGGACAATTTCGGCGAGGGCCCCTCAGGCGTCGAAGTTCTGCTCGGGAGCAACTCCCGAGCCCCCTCTGAAGAAGCACGCGCAACTGTGAAACAGCCGCGCGTGCCCCCTGCTGACGAGCGCGTGGCTGCCAGGCAGCCGCGCGGTCCGGTCAAGTCAACGGGGGCTGACGCGGACGGCGACGCTGGTCAGCCGGGGCCCACTCTGCAGAAGCGGCAGAAAGCAGCGGCCTCAGCAGAAACCACCCCAGTCAACCCCCTCGCGTCCCTCACTGCGCAGCAAATGCAGGCGCTGCTATCGATGTTACAGCAGCACGCGCCGGTTACAATCGCAACTTCATCCGACTACATTTCAACACCTGCAAAAAATGAAAATCAGAAGGAAGTCTCCGCCCCTCGCACCAACAAGGCGGCTCGCGTCAACGAAACCACTGCCGCACCACTTCCCGCGCCCGCACCTGCGCCGATCGCCGCTCAAGACGACAGCGACGACTCAGAGAACGAAGATGGTGAGGCCCCCAACAACATTACCCGCCGTCGTATTATTGCACCCGCACCCTCTCTCCCACCCCTCCACCCCACACCCGCATCCACCACCTTCATGCGCAAAGGTGTGCGCGATCAGGCGGAGGTCTTTTCTGCCATCCAGGCGCACCTGAAGCACGTCAATTTCAAGCTCCAGCACGACGACATAGAAAGCGCCCTCACCAACGTCGCGGAAATCGAGACGCTCATCCACAAGCGCTTCGAAGTCCTCTTGGTGGCGGACGAGGCGGGGTTCGAAGCTGCCGATCGTTTTCAGCTGTACCAGTCCAAGAGTGTTTTGACCTCACGCTCGTACAAGCTCGCGGTCGCCGACGTGGCGGCTCTCAAACGTGCACGGGCCGGCTACACTCGCGGCAACCGCATGCCCACCCGAGATGGCGAAACGGAAGGCAAGGGCATGCCGCCCGCAAGCTGCCACGAACCCCGCTTCAAAGGGGTGTGCTTCCACTGCGGCCAGCCCGGCCATATGGCAAATGCTTGCCCCATGGGAGGGCGAGGCGCTCAAGGCCCCTCACCCGTGGTGTGAGGAGGAACACGGGGCGGCGCCCCTTGCCACTATGCCGGGGGGCGTAGGTGGGAGCACCGGGGGTGCGTAGCTGGTAGCTAGCATGAGCTAGGGGCTGAAGGCCGTAGAAATTCCTAGCCGGAATGGAGGATATGGGGGTAGTACGTGCTATGTACTCATGTGTGGAAGCAAGTAATAAAAATTATCTTCTTATTATTAAAAAAAAAAAAAAAAAAAAGCAAGGAGTGGGAGAGCAAGAAAGCTGAACCAAGGCAGCCACCTTGCAGCATGAACAGCCCTATGACAAAGAAGGAAAGAGTAAGGAGGACGGAGGAGGAAACTGTGATAGGAAAGAAACCAGGAGAGCAAGGGGAGAGAGAGAGAGAGAGAGAGAGAGAGAGAGAGAGAGAGAGAGAGAGAGAGAGAGAGAGAGAAAGAGAGAGAGAAAGAGAGAGAATGAGAGAGAAAGAGAGAGAGTGAGAGAGAGAGGGAGAGAGAGAGAGAGGGAGAGAGAGAGAGAGAGAGAGAGAGAGAGAGAGAGAGGGAGAGAGCGAGAGAAGAGAGGAAGAGAGGGAAAGAGAGAAAGAGAGAGGGAGAGAGAGAGAGAGAGAGAGAGAGAGGATTAGCCTCTGCCCTCTGCCTCCAGCCTCTGCCCTATCCCTTTGCCCTCTGCCCTCTCCTCTGTGAGCTACTTAAGAGGCCTCCTTGGCCTCTTCTCCTCATTGTTCGGTGGGTTCATATTTTTTCGCTCGTTCGAGAGAGCGAGAGAGAGAGAGAGGATTAGCCTCTGCCCTCTGCCTCCAGCCTCTGCCCTATCCCTTTGCCCTCTGCCCTCTCCTCTGTGAGCTACTTAAGAGGCCTCCTTGGCCTCTTCTCCTCATTGTTCGGTGGGTTCATAATTTTTCGCTCGTTCGAGAGAGCGAGAGAGAGAGAGAGGATTAGCCTCTGCCCTCTGCCTCCAGCCTCTGCCCTATCCCTTTGCCCTCTGCCCTCTCCTCTGTGAGCTACTTAAGAGGCCTCCTTGGCCTCTTCTCCTCATTGTTCGGTGGGTTCATAATTTTTCGCTCGTTCGAGAGAGCGAGAGAGAGAGAGAGGATTAGCCTCTGCCCTCTGCCTCCAGCCTCTGCCCTATCCCTTTGCCCTCTGCCCTCTCCTCTGTGAGCTACTTAAGAGGCCTCCTTGGCCTCTTCTCCTCATTGTTCGGTGGGTTCATAATTTTTCGCTCGTTCGAGAGAGCGAGAGAGAGAGAGAGGATTAGCCTCTGCCCTCTGCCTCCAGCCTCTGCCCTATCCCTTTGCCCTCTGCCCTCTCCTCTGTGAGCTACTTAAGAGGCCTCCTTGGCCTCTTCTCCTCATTGTTCGGTGGGTTCATAATTTTTCGCTCGCGTCGGCCGCCTTCGGCGGCCGACGCTCGACGGCGCGGCCTTCGGCCGCGCGTGAGGGGACGGCAAGCGGACACCGCGCAAACAACTACATTACTGAGTTGACATACACACATGGCATCACACATAGAGGCCTAGAATGGTGGGAGCAAATATAGGGGAGCCCGCAACTACATGCGGTGAGCTCCAAGGGCGTGAAGGATGGCCGTCAGGGAGCGCCACAGCTCCCGGACCACAAGCGTGCTTGCGCCGATCGCCGCGGCTCCAGATCCTGCGCGCAAATGCCGCTTCAAGCTCCGGACAGCCTCGTCCAGCTGTCCCACAGCAGCAGCGCCACCCTCCGCGGGCGCAGCCAGCACGGGCGCCAGTAGCACTGCGAGCTGGTCCGCCGCATCCAAGCAGGTCTCGCGCGGACGGTCGCGGAACATCTCAGGAGGGATCACAGGGAGTGAGGAGTGAGCAAGGACTTGTATCAACAGCAACGCGTGGAGACTCTCTGCGAGGCGGTGGAGCTGACCGAGAGTCGACTCGGGAACACGCGTCTGCGGAGGCTGAAGCGCCTCCGCCAGGAACTGGAGCGGCTCATCAGCTGCATACTGAGCCGCTGCCGCGCCACCACCCGCGGCCACAAACTCCACCCCCGCAACAGGCGGAACCGGCGGCAGCTGCAGACGAGAGCCGGGAGCTGGCGCCGCTACAGAAGGAGAGGGAGCTGACGGGGCGAGGACAGGCGGAGGAAGGGGAGCAGCCGGCGGAAGGACCACAGGAGGCACAGTCGGACGAGGAGCCACGGGCGCCGGCGCAGCCCGCAGCGAACTGCTCTGGCTCTGCGCCGCCCTCTCCTCGCGCACGGCCCGGGACACCTCCCGCTGAAGATCCGCCATTGTCACGGGCGGACGATACCTCCCGCCGCCACCACGCCCGTGGGGACCCCTCCAGCCCCCATTGCCACCCGGGTGAGCGGGCCACTGGGCCTGCTGCTGGTAGCGCCGGGGGGAGTGGCGCCGGTGCCGCGACGTCTCGCGCTCCTGTTGGGGCGCTGGAGAATGGGGCCGGGAGAGACGGCGGTCAGGCGACGGGGGACGAGACGGCGGACCACCAGGGACCGCCGGCGGCAGAGCGGGAGCCATCGGATTCGCGCCGGGAGGCGCAACCATCGGGTCCGGCCCGACAGTGGTGGCGGACGCCGCCCTCGGGGAAGAAGCAGACGCCGGCGCAGGCACGTCGGGGACAGAAGCAGCTGGCTCAGCGAGTACGACAGGGGCAGGATCAGGGGGATCAGCAGCACCCCCAGCAGGAGCAGACGCCGTCGGCGCAGCCACGGGAGCAAGGGGGACGGGAGCTGCAGGCGGAACGGGCGGAGCGACAACCGGAGCAGACGGGCCCGCCTCGCCCACGCCGAGGGGAGCCACGGGTGCGGGGGGAAGAGTCTTTTCAGCGACTAATGTGGCGGGTTTCGGAGCCGGCGGTACAGGAGGCTTCGACGCCGTGGTCGCCTTTTCGGCCGGAGGCGGAGGCTTGGCGACAACAGCCGACCAAGCGGCAGCGCGCTCTGACGACGGCTCATCTGCTCCAGCAATCACCATCGGGGGAACGGGGAAGCCGCGGAGGAAGGAGGCTGGTTGCTAGCGGGGCAGGCGGGGGACCGGAGAACGGGTACCAGGCGGCGGCACGTAGGGCTTTAACGACTTTGGCTGCAACTAATGAGGAGGAGGAGCTCACGGACCCATCTTATAGGGAGGAATCCCTCCCACCAAGTGAAGATGAGGAAGCGGAGGGAGAAGGTGTGACGAGAGAATCAGGAAGGAGAGGAGGAGGCGATGTGGGTCAAGCAACAGCACAAGTGACACAGGCGGGTCAGGGGCCGTCAGATGCAGATCGAGCGGTTGACATTCCAACCCCAGCTCAGCCAACATCGGCGAGCCACGCTCGACGAAATCGGACCGCCGCGGCCACCACAGCGGCGCGACATACCATCCAGAACCCACGCTATTTCTCGCCTGACGAGCTGGCGAGGCGTGAGGATTTGTTTGCGGCAATCGCGAGCTGGGACATCGCTGCACTCTGCGACAGTCGACAGCCTTCGCTGTCACGGCGTTTACCGCCAAATCTGTGCCAACTGTTTTCGCAGGCACTCCTGACACCGTTGCTACACCTCTCACGAAACCCCGAATCCGAGCCGGGGTGGCGCGTGCTGCTGTTTCTCCCCCCCCTAACACTTCGCCAAACCTTGCCACAGCGTCCAGATTGGCCGGGGGTCAAGGCTCGGCTTCGAGCTTTCCAGCGTGGCGAATGGGAGCGTCTGTACCTGGACGCGGCTGACGCAGTCAACACGCCACCACCGCCACGCCACCGGCCTGACGCGACCGGAATCATTAGCCGAGCCGAGGGGCTCGCGAAACGTGGCAGTCTGCGTCGAGCCGTGCTGGCCTTGGAGTCAACGCCAGTCTGCACCCCCAGCCCGGAAATTTTGGAGGAGCTTCGTCAGAAGCACCCACCTGCGGTAAACGAGGCGGTGACCTGGCCGGTGCCACCCGAGTCAAAATTGTCCATCTCTCACGCGGAGTTCGCCAAAATCCTGGGGCGATGCGAGAACGGAGTGGGAGCCGGACCGTCGGGCACAACATTCGAGCACATGCGCGACGCGGCCACCACTAACGCAATGATCAGCACCCATCTGCACGCCTTGGTTAACACCCTGCTGGGGGGAAATTTGCCAGGCCCCGTGGCAAGCCTCCTGACCGCGTCAAGGTTGATTGCCCTGGCCAAACCAGGGGGGGGGGCTCGGCCAATCGCGATAGGCGAATGTCTGACGAGGTTGGCAGCCAAGGCAGCCCTGACAGCCATGGGGGAAGCTGCCCGTGAATATTTCCTGCCACTACAGTATGGCGTGGCAGTGCCAGGTGGAGCAGAGACGGTTATCCACACGGCCAGGGCATTCCTGGATGCCCGTCCCAACAGCCTGGTCCTTCAAACAGATATTTCTAATGCTTTCAACAGCATCTCGCGACAAGCCATCGCCACCGCGTTACACGACCCCAAACTGTCGCCATTACAGCCGTTTGTGAAACTGACTTACGGTAACCCGTCGCGCCTGCTCCTGGACGCGAAATTCAACTGCGATACCCTGCATAGCGAATGGGGTGTGCGGCAGGGTGACCCACTCGGCCCGTTACTGTTTGCAGCAGGAATACACCCCACGCTCCGTGATACTGCAGAGGCACACCCCGACGTGCTCTGCTTGGCGTATGCGGACGATGTCACCTTCCTGGGTGACACCGAACGCACTGTAGCCGCCTTCACGCACTTCACAGCCAAACTAGCGCAGCTGGGCCTGGCGTATGATCCACAGAAATGCGGGGCTTGGCGTTCAACAGCAGTTGCGCAGAGTCAATTACCGCCTGGGGTGCCGTTCGCCAAGGAAGGAGTGCGACTTCTAGGTAGTTACGTTGGGACGGACGCTGGTGGCGCGGGGTTTCTATCGGGCCAGCTGGCAGAAATGGCGAAGCCGTTGCCACTTTTAGAACGGGCAGACCCCCAGGTGGCCGCGCTGCTCCTCACGCGATGTATTTCTAGGCGTGTCGCGTATCTGATTAGGACGACTCCTCTCCACCTGCTCCCTTGCGCCACGTGGAGTCAGTGGGGCAGGGACCTACTCATCACCTTACTCGCCTCGTGTGACATCCGCGCACCAACATGTAGTGCCGAGCAAAAACGGGTCTGGGAGCAGGCGTCATTACCGACATCCCTGGGCGGCATAGGAATTACGGATCCGCTCATCGAAGGAATATATGGTTTCACCGCAAGTTTTACCCAGGCGGCGCTTTTCCTCTCCTCTCTCGCGCTGGAACCAGAAAGTGCTCTGATGACGGCCAGGAACCACATGCTGGCGCCTAGGGAAGACAGCACTCCCCTACACTCGTGGCTCACGGAGTGCGAAGCCGCCCTGCCTCTAGACGCGCGAGAGATCCTAGAGAAGGAACGGCTGGAGCGTTCGGATGTTAAGCTCCAACACGTGCTCGGCCTGAAGGTCCATGGGAGCAGATACGCTGTGCAAGTCCAGGCAACCCGGCACATGCAGCTGAACCCTCTCTTTGGCCACACGCAGCGGATGTTCTCGCTGACTGGGTACGCTACCGGGGACTGGCTGACTGCGATCCCAATTGAGGCCACCAGACGGATAGGCCCTGTTCATTTCACAAACGCCGTACGGTTTCGTCTGGGTCTCCCCTTTTCAACGCCCAAGAACTGCGACTGCGCGGATCAGGTAGCTATCACAGATCCCCGCCTCCCGAACCATCTACTCCGCTGCGGCACGGGCAAGCACCGCATTAACACACACAACGAGCTGCGCGATGCATGCATTAGCATGGCACAGCACGCCGGTTTCATTGTTCACAGTGAGTCGGCAGTTTACTGCCCCATCGAGGGACAAACTGCGGACTTCACCATGACCGACAGAAGCAGCAGGGCGGTTTATGTGTGTGACGTGACGATCACGGATCCCATTAGCACGAGGGATCCTATGGCAGAGAAGGGCAGGGGCTGGGCGGCTCGGGAGCAGGCGGATAAGAAAATCAAACACTATGCCAATCAGCCAGAGACAGTGGGTTTCTTCCCACTTGCCGTGGACACCTATGGCTGCCCGTGCGCGGAAGTCCCGGTCTTCCTGAAGCTCCTCGCAGATACAGCGGCTCGGCGGCACTTCAACGCCGACTCTAAATCCTTTTATGCCGCCAAGTTTCTGCACTTATTCCAGCAGCGCTGGTCAGTGGCCCTTCAGAGAGCCCAATCGGTGGGTCTCCTTCTCAAGCTGGGCGAGGCGGCGGCAGCAGAGAACCCGCCTGTAGGAGGAATCGGTCAGGAACTTCACCCGGGGGATTGCTTTGCGGTGGTTGAGCCCTACCTTGAGCTCTAGAGACAGTAGTTGGAAGGATGTGTTGTGTTGCAAGCTTTGTTCTCGTATTCCATGAACCTGCATGCATATACCTTGATCCTCTATCAATACAAGGACCATTGGAGAGAGAGAGAGAGAGAGAGAGAGAGAGAGAGAGAGAGAGAGAGAGAGAGAGAGAGAGAGAGAGAGAGAGAGAGAGAGAGAAAGAAAGAGAGAGAGAGAGAGAGAGAGAGAGAGAGAGAGAGAGAGAGAGAGAGAGAGAGAGAGAGAGAGAGAGAAAAAAAAGAGAGAAGGAGGGTGATGGAGTGAGACCTCACGGACGAGGAGGCTTGTGATTAAAAAAAAAAAAAAAAAAACAGACCCTCAACCAGGCCAAGAGGCCCGCCTAAGGATGTGAGGCAGCCCGTAGGGGATTTGTAAAAAAAAAAAAAAAAAAAAAAAAAAAAAAATCAAGGCGACAAGGAAGGCAGAGCAATATCTTATTCATAAGCCCACGGGCCGTCCCCATGACCAAAGGCTAATCACCTAATACACCCTACCCCGGCTGCCCCCAACGTGCAGTGGCGGACGACAAGTGGCAAGATGCGGAGTGGGACCCGTACGAGAACGCGGTCACGGACGGCACGGTGAAGGTCATGCGCAACCGATTGCGGAACCAACTCCACTGGTGGATATCGTGGTGCGACAGCAGTTTCATCATCTCAATCATCGCCAGGGGTTATTGGCTGCCTTGGAAGAACACAGAACCGCCACCCTTTGAAACCGCAAACCACGCAGGTGTCCACGCACACACGAAGTTCACTCGTGAGGCCATTCGCGATTTAATCACATCAGGCGCGGCAATGAAGGTCTCCTCGCGGACCGCGCTCTCGTGCATAAGTCCACTCAACGTGGTGGAACAACGCGACAAATGCCGCCTCATCCTCGACCTACGCAAGGTCAATCAACAACTTCAAGTTCCCAAATTCAAATACGAAGGTTTAAATCGGGTCTCAGAGATCATTCGACGCAACGACTGGCTGTTCACCATCGACCTCAAATCGGGTTACCACCACGTCGAGATGCACCCATCATGCTGGAAGTTCCTAGGCTTCCATTTTGAAGGCGAGTTCTACTGCTTTCGAGCTCTGCCGTTCGGATTGGCAACCGCACCTTTCGTCTTCACCCAATTGATCAAGCAATTGGCCAAACGCTGGCGTGCACGTGGCGTGCGTGTAGTACCATATGTCGACGACATGCTATTCCTCTGCGACTCCGCAGAGCAAGCGCGCAAGACATGCACAGAGGTTCTACACGATCTGGGGATGGCAGGTTTTGTGATCAACGAGAAGAAATCGCGCCTCCAGCCGGCCCATCAAACACGGTTTTTGGGGATAGAGCTTGACACGAAGTGCGGCATGTTCAGCATCGGATCCGAACGGCGGGCACACTTCCTAGACACGCTCAACACACTTATCTGTAAAGGGCAACGCGGCCAACAAGTCCCAATTCGGCAAGTCGCTAGTATCACCGGAATGTTGAGCTCCATGTCCCTAGCATTGGGCACGACGGCACGCGCCTTCAGCCACGAGCTGCTACATTTGATCGAGGCAGCGGCGTCTTGGCACTCAAGGATCCGGCTGCCACGGGCCACCATCGAGGAGCTAATTTTTTTGCAACTGCACTTTGACCAATTTAACGGTGCCCCGTTTCACCTAAGCCATCAATTCGATGCCGTGATCCACGTCGACGCGAGCGCTCACAGCTGGGGCGCTATCCTCACCAAGTTTGCCGACGCTTCGTACGAGGCAAGCGCCAGTATGCCAAGTGAGCTCCTCCCAACCTCAAGCACTCAAAGGGAGCTCGAGGGAGTCCTATGGGCGCTGCAGACATTTGCGGCCCACATCACCAATGGCCACGTCTTGGTCCGCGTGGACAACCAAGGAGTCATGTTCATCTTGCGCAAAGGGGGGTCGAGCCAACCCCAGCTGACACTGACATGGCAAGCGGTCATACAGTTCTGCCTCAAGAACCACACACGTCTGGCGATCGAATGGATCCCAAGGGAGCTAAATGCCCACGCGGACGAACTGTCCAAAATCCAAGACCATGACGACTACTCTCTGCAGACGCCATGGTTTCTCCTGCTGGAGCGTCGATGGGGTCCCCATACGATCGACCTTTTCGCGAACGCCAGCAACAAGAAGCTGCAACGATTTTGCTCCAAAATACCGCACCCAAGCGCTACCGCAATCGACGCGTTCTCGATCTCATGGACAGGCGAGCGCTGCTTCGCATTTCCGCCCCCCGGCTTGATCCCGGCTACGCTTTCTCACGCCAGGCGCACACAAGCCGAGTTGACACTTGTTGTCCCTGAGTGGCCGGGAGCAGCATGGTGGCCGCTGCTACAACCCTCCCCAAAAACATGGGCCCCAGAAGTGATCGCATGCTTGCGTCTCGCTCAAGGAAGCCAGTGCCTTCGACCTGGTTCGCACGCAACGGCATTCTCCGGACTCGGCCTGCCACATAGCCCAATCATTGCCTTGCGTGTAAAATACTACATGTAACTAATATTCGAATGTTAACTCTTTCAGGATTGCTGACCAAGCTTCAAAAGCAACTGTTACGAGTTATCAAGCATGTTCGCGCGCCGTCCACGATCGAGACATACCAGCCATACTGGCTCAAATTTCGCAACTTCTGCACTCAAGTCAAGTTGGTATTTCTGCCAGCAACGGACCTCACGCTGGCACTCTACCTAGTCCACGCGCCGAACAACAAGGCTACCATATCAGCGATCAGCCTCACATGCTCCGCCGTGGCCTTCGCACATCGGATGACTGGAGAGGCGTCCCCAACGAACGGCCCGTTCACGCTGCAAGTACGAGAGTTTGCTAAGCGACATGGCCCCCGCCCGACAAGGACCAAGGAACCCGTGTCACTCCATCAGGTGCACAACATGGCACGACCCTTCCTGGAGTCAACGGTGCCGGCGGAATATCAGAAAGGCTTGATATCTCTCTTGATGTTCGCAGCATTCCTGCGCTACTCCGACCTGATATCCCTCCAATGGAACGACATCCAGTTCGAAGGGGCGGCAATGTGGCTCCTAATCCCGTACTCCAAGACGGACCAAGAAGGCAAGGGCACGTGGATCCCGGTCGCGGCGACGGCAGGGCCTTACTGCGCTGTGAGATGCACACGGGAGTTCATTCGCATCGCAGGCCTCGCGAATATGCCACACGGGCCACTGATCCGGGTGTTCAACAAAGGGGCACAAGCCTCGCCGCAGGACAAATCGCCTTCGTATACAACCATCCGGAGCTGGTGCCTCGAGGCTTGCAAGAAGGCAGGGCTGGACGCCACGCACATCGGAACACACTCTTTCCGCAAGGGCGCAGCAACAGCAGCAGCCGCCTTAGGCATCCCCGACCGGCTCTTCAAACGAATGGGTCGATGGCGAAGCGACGGCGCGAAGGACCTCTACGTCACCATCGCCCAAGACCAACTCATCGACCTCTCCACCCAGCTGCAGGACACCTCCACCGCCCCATCGCCTGTTAGGCACCAGCAGTCGTTGGAGAGGCACCGCCGACCCATAATGCACTTGCCTCAGAAGACCCACTTGGAATGAAGCACGCTGCATTTGCAAGATGGACTAAGCAAAGCTTTCACAATATTATAATCTTTAAAAGTGTAACACTTTTTCAAATTTCGTATTGTGAAAGCGAGGACGTGGCCAACGCAGCAAAGGTAGCGGCTCGACGCTACTCACCCCTCTTTTGCCTACAAAAGAGGAACGTGATTCCAGTAGCTCCACCCACGTTCTTCATTTCCAATTTCTAGTTTTACTTTCCCACCACCCACCCCATTGTGTATCATTGATGGACGAGAACGTTGTAACTTCCCACTTGGAATGAAGCACGCTGCCCACTCCCACTTGGAATGAAGCACGCTGCCTTTGCAAGATGGACTAAGCAAAGCTTTCACAATGCATAATGCAGATTGATTTACACGATTGACCATTCACAAATATGCGATGGCGGCATTTGCTTCCTTAGGAGCTTCGATCTTCGTATTGGTAGCAGGTGTGCAGTTATCCGTTGTATACCACATGAACCAGGCACAACTTGGACCACCACCGATGTTGAACAGTTGGTAGATCGTACTGAAAAATCCAGCTACCCCCTCAGGCACCTGAATGCATCCATGTTTGATGCGGACGGTGTAGGGCCTGGAAGCCTTGTCTTTGGCATTACGATCCCGGACGAGTGTCATACTGCTGGCAAGCACTTGGTCAGATGCACCTGAGAATGGATGGCACAAGCACAAGGGGAAACGGGGAGACCATTTTTGAGAGTGGATGGCACAAGCACAAGGGGAAACAGGGAGCAAGGACGGGAGGGAACAAGAAGAAAATGTGGTGGATGGCACAAGCAGAAGGAAAAGACGGGGTGAACTGTGATGTTATGAATCGGGATGGGAAAGGATGCTGAAGGCAAAAGCTGACACGCGCACAAATTGTCTGCTGCATGTTGAAGCTACTAAAACAAGAGTGTTTTTGAGACGTCTCAAAAACAAATTGTCTGTTGCATGTTGAAGCTACTGGTACAATCCAAGTTAAAGTATCGGTCACAGCATGAGGTGTCAGCCTCAGGTTGAGATGCGCTCAGCTTCGTGATCCATCACCGCACTACACCACGTCGTCAGCCCTCATCAACCGCAGAGGACAGATAAAACAGCAGAGGAACATGCAGCTGCTAATAAACGGAGAAAGTAAAACAGGGCGGTATTGAATCTTACCCTGGATGCATTCTGTTGGGGTCATCCCGTAACCCTCAGGGCACTCGCAGTACGACACATCCACCTCATAGTACGACAAAGCTATATGGATCGCTTTGCAGGTGGCGCCAGTAGGACACGTGCCACAGGGTGAGTCTGAGCAACACTGCAGCACGAAACGCAGACACAGCACGCAAGGCAAACACACGGTACGGGTACAGCAGAGGGATGGGGAAATGAGCAGGGCAAATGGGCCAGCATCACACAAATGTGGATTAGAATGCACCATATGAGATAGTGGCGGGATTTTAGGCGCCTAAATAAGCCTCACACAAATGTGGAGTGAAGTGTGCGTAATGATAGAGGTCGAGGAGATAGGGGCTGAGTGCGGTGTGGATGGGCTGGGTTGGGTGTACAGAAGGCTTGAAGCCATGCTTACTCCATTTGCACGAGCGAACTCCGTTGGTGTTCACACAAACCCCGTCCGGTTCGCAACCCAACTCGTAGCAAGCCTTGTCTTATGTGAGCGTGTGGAAGGATGGGGTGGAAAAGAGGGGGGAGGGGGTGGGGGGGGGGGGGGGGGGGGGGGTAAAAATCGGAGCGGGGGGGAAGGGTGGGGAGGAGGGGGGAGAGGGAGTGATGCTCGAAGGAAGAGAAAATTACGGGTGAAACATGCATAGTCAACTATGGAGATGCAACGAAAGGCATAGACACACAGAGCGCAGGAGAGGGAAGGAGAGAGAAAAGCAAGAAGACAGCGCACGAGAGCGCAGGAGAGCGCAGGAGAGAGAGGGAGGTACCGCAAGCAGCGTACCTACGCAAGCGCCATTGATTAGGGCAAAGCCCGAGTTGCATGCACAGGTGACGCCCTTGCTGTCACTCGTTGGGGTGCATGTGGAGTTGCTCGAACACTTGGTGTTCTCGCAGGTGACGTCTGGCATGGGGGGGAGAGAGGAGAGGGAGAGGGGAAGGGGTGGGGAGGGTGTTGACGCCCTTGCGGTCAGTCGATAAGGTGCATGTGGAGTTGCCGTCACTCGGACACTTGGCATGCTCGCAGGTGACGTCTGGCATGGGGGGCAGCAGAGGTGTGTGCGGCACAGCCAGAGTGGGAGAGAGAGAGAACATGCATGAGTTGATGGAGAAATGCAGGAAGGAAGCTCGGTTTCAAAGAGGAGATGCAAGATGCAAGAGATGTGTGTGGTAAGGTGGCGAGGAGGAAGGAAGGCAAGGTGGCATGATGGAAAGGTGGCATGATGGAAAGGTGGCATGATGGCAGGAGGAAGGAAGGCAAGGTGCATGATGGTAAGGTGGTAAGGAGGCAAGGCACGCACCAGGCTGGCAGGAAACAGAAGTCCATCGGGCGATTTTCTTAATGCTGCAAGACAAATCAAAACAGATGATAGGAACAAATTAGCGCATCACAAGCTGACAGTAACATTGACTCCGAGTCACCCCAGGTTTGGGTCAGCAACATTTTGGAGATGACCTACCCTACCCACATGACCACCCTGCCCCCATCACCCACGTGCCCCCATCACCCACGTGCCCCCATCACCCACGTGCTCCTATCACGCACGTGCCCCCACGACCCACCTGGGAACATTGAAGAATTTGCGCAGAAGGGAGTAATGCGGCTTGAGCACCTGACCCAGCGGCTTGCCCTTGCAGGCGGGGTTGGCAAAGAAGTGCACATGCTTGCACACCGCACCCACCCGCTGCTTCCCACTGCCGCCCTTCAAGGGCCGCCCGTGCCACCACACCTGCACGCTCTACTGCGCCACGTGCGCTGCTCGCGGAAGGGTGAAGCAGCGGAGCGCCCCTGCACCGCCGAAGCTGACGGGGAGGCTCACGCCCGGCACCGTGATCTGCGTCGCCACCTGCACGCCCGCCTCCACCGCCCCGCCGCCGCCTGTGCTGCCACTCCCTACGCCTGGAGCAGCGGGGTGAGAGAGAGCAGAGGGGTGACAGGGAGCAGAGGGGAGAGAGGGAACAGAGGGGAGAGGGGGAACAGAGGGAAGAGAGGGAACAGAGGGGAGAGAGGGAACAGAGGGGAGAGAGGGAACAGAGGGGAGAGAGGGAACAGAGGGGAGAGAGGGAACAGAGGGGAGAGAGGGAGCAGAGGGGTGGGAGGGAGGGAGGAGATGTGTGGGAGGGAGCAGAGGGGTGCGAGGGAGCAGAGGGGTGAGAGGGAGCAGAGGGGTGGGAGGGAGCAGAGGGGTGCGAGGGAGCAGAGGGGTGGGAACCTAGTGAGAGGTGAGGAGTTATGAGAACTTATTGAGGAGGTCAGCTTTGGTTGCCGAAACAGTGTGTGTAAACCTAGTGAGCAGGCTCGTTCCAAACCTGTGGGGTTTCTTTGAGATATCCCTAGTGTATCAACGAACTCACTTGCGACCCGATTGGTCAATGCTTACGTCACGGTTACGTTAGTGCTTACGAACTCAATTGCGACTGTCGATGACGTCGCAAGTGCCCAAGGGTTTCCTGCAGGGAACATGGCGACTGCAGGGTTTTCTGCAGGGAACATGGTGGGTGTTATGAGTTGTACGAAAGAAGAGTGCGCAGTATTCAATAACGCGGAAGTGATTACAACTACTGAGCAAACAACGAGGCCTAGGCATAATATAGCGAGGCTAGCTAGGCCGAGGTCGCGGAGTCGCGCGAAGGTCGGGTGTAGGTTTGGGGTTGGGAAACCCGAAGGCGACGCGGAGGACGTTCGGAAGGCGAGGTCATCGGACCGAGCCTGAACTCCGAAAAGTTGGACTTGTACGCGTACGGAGTGCCTCAGTAAGGAATTAGGAAAATTCCTTACACTACCCCCCCCTTTAAGAAAGGTGGTCAATATCGGGCACGCGTCGGCGGGAAAGATAATCCCGGAGTACCGAGTGGCCCTGTAGTGAGTCAGCGGGGACCCACGTGTCATCGTCGCTGGTGCGATCCACCCATCGCAGGAGGAAATCAACGTGTCGTCCAGCTGGTGTCGCACGAATGCGATGGTTCAAAATCATCCAGGGCTGGAGTGTCGGGTCTGCGACGGGCCGGACACTTGGCGCGATGTTAGGTCGAGCGACGTCGGACGGCTGCGGAGCCACGTAGTGTCGAAGGAAACTGACGTGGAAAGCATCGTGGATCTTCCAGTCGTCCGGTAGGAGAAGTTTCGCCGTGACCGGGGTCAGCATCCGAATGATGCGGAATGGTCCCACGTAGCGGGGACGCAATTTTGCAGGCTGGGGCAGTCGGAGATTCTTCGTGTCCAGGAGAACCATCTGCCCGTCACGGAAAGGTAAGTTCCGTCGATGTCGGTCGGCGTATCGGCTAGCGGTAGTATTAGCTTTTCGTATGAATTCCGCTGCCTTATCGCGTGCTTGCTGAAGTTCCGAAACAAACTGCTGCGACCGTGGTACCGGATTCTCAGGAGTCGTGACGAGGGTACCACCTGATCTATCCCGTAATTAAGGTAGAACGGCGATTGATTGGTCGTTGCAGATGGGGCGTTGTTGTACGCAAATTCGAGCATGGGAAGTGTATCTTCCCACTTGGTGATGTCGGGGCAGTTCGTGCGAATCAACTGCTCCATCGTCTGGTTAGTCCTCTCGGTCTGCCCGTCGGTTTGCGGGTGGTTGCAGGCGGGTGCTGTACTGTGCCCAGGTCTCCTGCCAGAACTTCGACGTAAATTTCGGATCCCGATCGCTGATGATCGCCGAAGGTAACCCGTGTAGTCGTACGACGGTCGAGATGAAAAGCTTCGCTGTTTCTTCGGCTGTGATCGTCGTGCGGCATGGTGCGAAATGCGCCATTTTCGTTAAGCGGTCGACGACGACTAGTACCAAGTCATTGCCACTTGCGCCAGCTGGCAGCCCGGTGACAAAATCCATTGTCACATGTTGCCACGGTCGTTCGGGTGGCTCGAGGGGTTGCAGCAATCCAGCTGGGCGTTGACGTGATGACTTCATTGCCTGGCAGGTCGGGCAGGCGGACACGTAGTGCTGCACGTCCGACGCCATGTCGGGCCAGTAGTAATTCCGTTGCAGCAGCTTCAACGTTTTGTCGGCGCCGAAATGCCCGGAGAGGTTGGAGTCATGCACCTCCTGCGTCAGCAATTCTCGTAAGGGTCGGTAGGAAGGTACCCAAACTCGGTTTGTACCGACTTTTAGGTAATAGCTCCCATGCGCCATGGTGACCCGTTGGTGTTGGTTGGTCCTGAAAAACCTGTCAGTCCTGTAGCCGTGCTTGAACAATCCTGCCAATAACGGGTTGGAGTGGGCGATTAGTACTGCTGCGGTTTGCATTGATGGGCGGGTCAGGGCGTCAGCGATGTTGTTGGCGCCCTTTTTGTACGTGATGGTGTAGCTGAAATTGGACTCGAGGTAGTCGAGCCATCGGATTTGTCGCGGGTTGAGCTGTGGTTGGCTGCGCATGTACTGTAATGACTTGTGGTCGGTTCGGATGGTGACGTCAGCTCCCGTGAGGTAACAGCGCCAGGTACGAAATGCATGCACGATGGCGAGCATCTCTTTGTCGTGAACCGGATAGTTGCGCTCGGGCGGCTGCATTTTTCTTGACTCGTACGCGATGGGTTGCAGCCCGTTGCCGAAATCCTGTAGTAGCACAGCGCCGACGGCGAAATCGCTGGCGTTCGTCACGACTTCGAACGGTCGAGATGGATCTGCCAGGCGAAGCACCGGGGGTGAACTCAAAAATTTCTTTAACTCGTCGAAGGCCAGCTGCTCTCTCTCCCCCCACAAAATTTGCACGCCCTTATGCAGAAGATCGGTTAACGGCCTGGTTACCCCCGCCATATTCGGTACAAAACGGCGGACGTAGTTAACGAAGCCGAGGAAACTCTGCAACTCCGTGATGTTCGTGGGCGGCTTCCACTCCGAAATCGCTTTTACTTTGCAAGGGTCAATCTTAATGCCCTCCCCTGAAACCACGTGCCCCAGGAACTCCAGCTCCGACTGTAGGAACTCGCACTTAGAGCCCTTAGTAATCAGCCGGTTCTGCTGCAAGCGCCGGAACACCTCTTCTAAGTCCTGTAAATGCTGCTCCCGAGTCTTGCTGTACACCAGGATGTCGTCCAGGTAAACTATGACCTTTTTGTCCAGCATGTCCCGAAACACCCCATTCATGGTGAGCTGGAAGGTCGAGGGTGCGTTCGTCAACCCGAACGGCATTACGGTGTATTCGTAGCTGCCGTAGCGGGTGCGAAATGCAGTCTTCGGGCAGTCGTCGGCGAACACGCGAATCTGGTGGTAGCCACCTCGCAAATCGATTTTCGAGAAGAAGCGAGCCCCGCGAAGCTGATCCAGCAGGTCGTCCGCTCGCGGAATCGGGTAACGTGACTTGATAGTGATCCGATTCAACGATCGATAGTCGATGAACATGCGCAGGCCTCCGTCCATCTTCGGCGTGAATAGTATCGGGGCGGCGTATGGTGACGTGCTCGGCCGGATAAAACCTTTCGAAAGCAGATAATCCAGCTGTTTCTGCAACTCGTCGAGCTCCGGTTGGCTGAGCCGCCACTGTGACCGAACAGTTGGTTTTGCGCCTGGCTCCAGCTCGATCCTGTGGTCTTCTGGTCGCTGAGGTGGCAGCCCGTCAGGCAGGTCATCCGCGAAAATTTCGGGATACCTCCGTATTATGCTCGCCACGTCGTCTAGTACAGCAGCGCAGAGCGTGTCAATGTCGGCGATTTTTTCGGACGCCACTACCTCGTACAGCTGTACGGCGTAGCCCTGCGCTCCCCGCTTGATCGCTCTTTTCATCGTTATCGCGTTGACACGTGTTGTCATCGGCTCCGGCTTCGCCCATTTCGGAAGTGTCACGCGCCCCTTGTTGCACAGCACCGTGATCGCCCCCGTCGTCCAGTCGATCGTCGGATTAAATCGCTGCAGCCAATCTCGTCCCAGCAGCACATCGCAACCGTCCAGTGTTGTCGCCAGCATTCGCATTGAAAACCCGAAATCGTCGCCACACTTCATCCGAATTTGTCGGACCTCGTCCTTTATCGCCAGCTGTGTCCCATCCACCAGTCGCGCATCAATCTCGGGCAGACACCTGTCCAGCTTGACCCCAATTTTTTTGGCCGTTGCCAGGTTGACGAGACTGTGGCTCGCCCCACCGTCAACGAAAAGTTTTATTTTTTGTCCGTTAACCCTCCCCACGACCAGTACAGGGTGATCCACGTGTTCATCCACCTTATTCGCCCGGTTGCGGTCGATAGCCCGTATCGGTACCACTACTCGGTGTGGATGTTGATTGCCGGGCGACGGGGTCTCGTCAGTAGGTGGCCCAACTGCTACTGACCCGTCTCTTTTCCCGACCCCTCTCCGTCGTTCCTGTTTCCCTGTTTCAGCTTCGGGCAGTCCTTCCTCCAGTGGCCCGGTTGGTTGCAGTTGAAGCACGTGTTAGGTCCACGTCTCGGTGCATCCACCCCGTTGATTGTGGGCTGGCGCGGTGGTCCACGAAATTGAGTGCCCTCCCGGGAACTCATTCTCGCCCATTGCATCAGCGCATCCGTCGATTCAGCCACCTGGACGGCATCGAGGAAGTCGCGTGGCCTCGCCCGTCGCACCTCGTACTGTACTTCGTACTTGAGGCCTGCGACGTATCGGTCGAGTCGCTCCGCATCACTCATGTCGTCCACCTGGTCAGCCAAATTGCATAATGTTGCCGTGTAATCTTGGACCGACGCCACCTGCTTCCAGGTACGCAGCTTCATGCGGGCAGAATCCGAGGCGGATACATGCTCGAATCTGTTTCGCAGCGCGGCGCCCCACTCCGTCCATGTGCGTATCGTGGCCACTCCGAAGATTGAAGTTGCTCGTTGCGTGACAGTTGTCCAGATCCCGTCATTCGCACGTGACATCCCTGCCGGAGTCCCCTCTATCTGAAGAGTCCGCTTCCACCACTCCAACGCCGGTCCTCGTAACAGTGACACTGCAAAATTAATGCGAGTAGCATCGTCAGCAATTTGCGCAGCATTGAAAAACACCTCCACACCGAACAACCATGCCGACACAGTAACGGTTTTGTCGCTGGGGTTGAGCGGGGGCGGGTTTGTCGGCTTTATTTTAACAGTTGTTGAGACTGTTGCTGCTGCATGCATCGGGGGCGCCACCGGGGCCATCACCGGGTTCGTCGCTGGCGTTGTCTGCGACGGTTGCCCAGATGCCACTTGTGCTTGTTGCTGCGGCTGTGGCCGTTGCTCTTGCGTCCCACGTGCCTGTTGCTGGCGTACCGCCCACTCATCTTCAGCATCCAGCGAGCCCTGTAGCTCACTAAAGACGTCGTCGTTGGGTGTGGAGCTGCTACTTGCTTCATCCACGGCGGGCGACTCCTGACGCGCTTCGCCTCGCGTCTGGCGTAGCTCGGCGTTTTCCACCTTCAGGCGCTCCATCTCTGCAGACATGGTCTGCAAGTTGGCTTGCATCGCCCGAAACTGTTGCATGAACTCGTTGAACTCCGCCTGTTCCATGTTTCGCAGGCTTCTCCTAA